CCCCCACTGCCTACTTCATGTCTTCTATTAGCAAATGAAAAACCCCATCCATCTTACATAGCACCTCTGACCTGGGTGCCAGAGAAACAATATCTCATAAGAGAGTCAGTGATCTATAATTCTTATACAAAAGTGTGTCAGAATAAGGACCCACTCTCTTCTGTACATGGATTTGGCTCAGAATATACCCAGGTTTCTTGGAATGGGATTTTTTTACTCTTAATTTCTGTTTCTCTTACACACTGCTTAGGAATGTCAAGTAGGGATTTCTCTTTTTCTCAGCAATTGGAAACACTTGGTTTTCTTCATCAAAGTTAGTTGTTTGTAGCCCTTGCATGCAGGTTACACTTTGGCTATTTCCTGTCCTCACTCAGCACAATGACCCCATTGTGGACCAAAGTGTTCCCCAACAGGTTGATTCCCCACAGGGTTTTATAGTAGGTAAAAGCAGAAGCTAGGTCCTCACACTAGGCAGCAATAAGCTCACAGGTCTCCAATCCAAGATTCTATGAATGGCAGTTGGGAAGTTCCACAGCTTCACATAACAGCTAAACAGTATCCCCAGTTTATCTTCTGAAAACAGTAGACTTCTCAGATTCCTAATGTTGTTGAGAACTGGAGCTAGGTCTTGATAGCCACTGGGTGATAATGATGGTTGGCTGGCCATGGGTGCCACCAGGGCATGTGGATGACCAGGCTCCACCAGCCTATTGGCATTTTCAACATGAAATCGTGTCTTCTAGATCCAAGATTTTCTTGAATTGTTTCTTTGGTAATTTCTGTCTCTTCTTTTTTTTAAAAATTCTCTTTTCTTATAATTCTATTTTTGGATATCAAGTTACTTGGTTTAATATTCTAATTGCCCTGTATTTTGTTTTCTCAAAATCATTTTGTCCATCATCTTGGAGATGTCATCATCTTCATCTGTCATTAATTTATTGCCTTCTTAATTTTCAAGATTTTCCCCCCTTACTCTCTTTTATGTGGTTTTCTTTCATGAATGTGATATCTTGAGATAGCAGATATAGTTTTTATAACATTTTTTTCTACCTTGCAATTTTCTTTGTCTTTTTTCTAGTATATTTTTGTTGTTGTTTTGTCTTCCTTAAATGTTTGGCCATTGGTTATCTGTGCATTTTTAGGAGACAAATGTTTTGAAAAACTGTAATACATGAGGACTGTCATGTTGGCAACTGCATAGGACTGATCTGCCTGCCTCCAGAACACCATAATTCCTCATGCCTCTCAGCGTGAGCCGCCTTCTCAGAGAATTTTGTCTCCCTGGTTACTCCTTCAAATACTTGGGGTTTTTACTTTCAGTTCTCACTTAGAATTACACCTTCTGCCAGGAGGTCCTTTCTTTTTTAATCCTCTCAGCTCTCACCTGTCCTTCCAGTCTCCCTTTGGCCTTTGTCATCACTGTACTGATCCTCAATCTGCTATAGAAACAAGTACCACAGTTGGAGTACAGGCATTCCACACAGTCCTTGGGCTGGCATCTGAGATCAGGGTGCCAGGACAGTTGGGTTCAGGTAAGGGCTCTCTTCTAGGTTGTGTGTCTTCTCCTTGTTTCCTTCATGATGGAAATAGGGTAAGAGGGCTCTTGTGAGTCAAATGAGGGCATTGTTTCATTTCCCTGGCTCCACTATCATGACCCATTCACCTCCCAAAGCATAGCCCCTTCAAATATCATCAGAGATTTCAGAGTCTGAAGTCTGCAGGGACACAAACATTATAACTTTATTGTGTATTTCACTTGTTTTCTAGTATTAGTTATGTTCATTTGTGTTGCCATTCAAATGTACACTCCTTAAGACTTGAGGCCATTTCACATATTTTTGGTGGAATCCAACTGTACTAAACTAGCAATAGTTTCTGGGCACTGTTTGATAATTTTACTTAGAAGAAAATATGGCAGTAGGAAAATGACACCCTTGACTGCCAGAAAGATTTTGTCCCAAACCCTTTAATGTACCCAAAGTGTAACTTCACCTTGGTAGTGTATTTTGAGAGCTCCATCAAATGTCCTGCCAGAGGGTCTGAAGAAAATCACAGAATGTTTTTCCTACTTTACTTCCTCAATGGAACCTTCATTAGTTCACTAGGAACCAGAGAGGCCCTACTGGGATGCAATGTGCATAGATAGGTTTTGGGATGCATCTTAAGAAAGTTAGTGTATTAATAATTGAAGTTTGTCAGTAGTTTATATTGAAAAATTAAATTGGGGACTGAAAAGATGGCTCGGCAATTTTATTAGTTACTTTCCTGTTGCTGTGATAAGACACTGACCAAAGCAACTTACAGAAGTAAGAGTTTATTTGTGATTATGGTTCCAGAGGGATTAGAGTCCATCATAGCAGGGAGGCATGGTAGTAGAGCATGGCTGGAGCAGAAAGCTGAATGATCACATCTTCAATCAGGCACAGGTACCAGAGAGAGAGTGACTGGAAATCCAGCAAAGTTTAAGAATCATCAAATCCTGGCCCCAGTGAGGCACTTCCTCCAGTAAGGCCACACCTCCTAAAACCTCCCAAGACAGTGCTACCACCTAGGAACAAAATGTCCAAAGACTTGGAGCCTATGGGAGACATTCTCATTCAAACCACCACAGCAATTAAGAGCTCTGGCTGCTCTTGCAGGGGACCTGGGTACAGTTCCCAGCACCCACCTGGCAGCTGACAATGGCCTCTTCTGACCTCCGGGGGCACTGTACACATGTAGTACACTTACAGACATGCAGGCAAAACATGCAGGGACGCTGGTCTGGCCTTGACCCTCCCTGGGGATACAAGCAGCTTGACCACAGAGCACACAGGGCAATGGTCATGTCTCCTCCAGGGCCTCTAGTCTGCAAGAGCTGAAAGAGGGTTCTGTGTACAGGTGGCCACAGACACTGCTAACACCTGTCACCTGTGTTGTGGCCACATTTAGGCTGGATGAGGTCTACATACATATTAAAAAATTATATTGGTCTTAAGGTCTTACAAGTGGTTACACAAATGTTTTCCTGGTTATAGAGAAGGTAGAGTGGAAACTTATGAAATTGTGTGTAATCCAGAACTAGGAGAAGGGGAGTATGTGAAGTGATCTTCTGCTATAAGGATGAGGCTGAGCATGTCCTGAGTGTGCAGGACCCCCATTGAGACAGAGCAAGAGAATCCAACCTTCCCTCAAGTCATTTGGGGGAAAGATTAGGCATTATTGGGAAAAATTCACTAAATGAAAGTATTAACTGCATGTTAAATCTCTGTTATAAGCACCCCTTAATAGTATCCTTTTAAATAATGAAAGCTGTCAAGTATGGTAGTTTGGCTTCTAGCCTGACAGCTGTCACCAGGCCATAGCAGCAGCTGACTGAGAGAGAAACTGAGGAACTACCACAAGGCTGGCAGAGATGAAGGCTGGACTGGGTGTGATTGTGTTGCTTCCACAGTTCCCAAGTCTGGCAAGACTGCAAATGATATTGCTGCCATTACTGAAGGAAGGGACTATCAAGAGTGTACAGAGGCCTGGGAGTTGTCAAATAAGCAGGAACTGTAAATCAATTAGCAGCTCCTGGAGGTTCCTCACAGTCCCAACTGTGGCTTTGCTTTAAGAAACTCTGCTTTGACCACAATACCTTGAGATGACACTTAGATGACCTCCAGACCTCATGACAGCAGACAGGGGACCCTCTTTCAGCAAACGGGCCCTGTGCTGCAGCATAGACCCCAATAAAGTTTCGACCAAGTGGTTTTATTGACTACTTGTGGTCTTTTATAACTAGTAGAGTGGGCTGAGCTGGTTGCATGCAGGAAGAACAGGTGAAACCAGAGCTGCTAACTCATGGTCCACCTAGCAGCAGCTATAGGGATGGAGTAGAGACTGGAGAGAACTGAAACTATAAAGGAGTGCATGAGTGTTGAGAAAACACAGGAGAGGGAAGAGCACAGACTGCAGAAGGCAAGAGCTGAGATTTTGGAAAATCTGCAAACTCCAAATGCTGGGAAAGTTACAGAAAGTCACCAAGTTGCTAGCTCTCGCTGCTGAGGAATCATCTCAGAACTGAAACACTAAAAGCTAAGAGCCTTGACACCAGAAGGCAGAGGCGCAACACTAGCGCCTGGGCGTTGGCCCACTGGCTCATAAAGCCAAAGCTGTAACACTGAGATCCAAGAGTTTCCGGCACAAGTTGGGTGCTACCGACACAAAGGGAATAGACCTCATCCAGCCTAAAGGTGGCCCACAATACAGGTGACAGGTGTTAGCAGTGCCTCTGGCCACCTGCACACGGAACCCTCCCTCAGCTCTGGCAGATTAGCAGGCCCTTGAGGAGACATGACCATTGCCCTGTGTGCTCCGTGGTCAAGCTGCTTGTATCCCCAGGGAGGGTCAAGGCCAGACCAGCGTCCCTGCTTCCTCCCCAGGATTCCAGTGAACGCGAGCAGAGCAGCCATCAGTAGGGCAGAAAGGCCTTCTGGGCGGCCCGTCTGCACGCACCGAGGCCTGTGAAACCAGGGAGTGAAGTTGGGTTGGAGCAAGACAAGCGTGTGCCAGCGCCTTGCCACCACTGGCTGCTGAGACTTGGCCTAGGCAAAAAGCAGATGAGGGAGGGGACTGCTCATCCATCGCGATCTGGAACCATCCAACCAAAGGCTGGCCTCCCAGGCCACCCTGCAGTTGCTAGGCAACGGGCCGAGGCATCCCGCTTCCCACGCGCCTGTGCCCCGCCCACCTCGCGACCCTCCCTAGTGCCTGCAAGCAACATTTCTGACGCCCCCGGGTCTCCATGCAAAAGCTCCGAGTTGGCTAAAGAGGCGTGCCTTCAGGCGGAAGTACGGCTAGAGGAAGCGGAAGTGAGCGCGCCTGAGCCGGCACTGAGGGCGGAGCGGCGGGTGTGTAGTCAGTTGCTTCTCTGCTGCTCCACCTCCCGGTCGGTGTCGGACTGTGGGGTCACGCGGAGCCGAGCGGCCGAACCCGCAGCGGACCGAGGCCCTCGGTCCTGGGCGCAGCCCCTTCCGCGGGGGTCAGGTCCGCTGTCCGCATGGGCCTCGCTGTACAGGTGTAGCTGGCGGACGTCGGAGCCCGGCGCGGAAGAGCGAGGCGAGGCGGCTGGGGAGGAGCCTGCTGGAGACCCGCGGTAGTGGAGCCGAACCCGAGGTGATGGAGAGGCGAAGGGTCTAGGCTGCTGCAGTGGTCCGAATTCCTCGGGTGTGTGTGTGGGGGGAGGGGGTCATCCTTTAGGTTTTGACTTGTCTGCCTGTGGTCTCTGACGGTTCTGTCTTAGGGGCTTGCTGTTACCCACGACCACGTTCTTCGAGCAGTCTGCGTAGTCTCCAGTCCACCGCATTCGTTTAGTGTAGGAGATCTTGCATTTATCAAAGCACCGACAGCATAGCCGCGTCCAGTCCCTTGTCACCCATTTTTACTTCAGTACCTCCCAGTTTAAAAAGTTATATCCACCCAGTCTTCCGAACATTGATATCTCTGAACACCTTTGTTCAGAGGAAACCTGAATAGATGACATCTGAGGTCATTTATCGTTTTCAGCAGAGATTTTACCGCCTCTAAATTGGAATCTGGGCTGTTAAAAGCTAATGCATTCATGCCTTGGGATCTCTCACTTACATGGGTGGCTTCCAAGGTAGTGGGAACTCAGAAGTCCTGTGTCCTAATTTGCATCCTTAAAAGCATCCCAAATTATATATTGTGGGCCCTGTACTTGTGATTTGTCTTATCTTTCACGAGTTCTTGTCCTGATCTTCCCCTTCAACTTTCTCCTCTTCACTCTCGAGGTTTGCTTGTTATTTGAAGGAAGGGAACTGGGCAGAATATATATATATATTATAT